GGGACTTTGCGTGCGCTGCAGGATTTTAAGCCATGACGGTGTAGTGTGTTACTAATGGTAACTGTTGAGACTGCGGTCCCAGCTCTCTTCAGGTCATTGACCAGGTCCTCCCATGTAGTTCTAGGCTGGTCCCTCACCTTTCTCAGGATCATTGATGCTCCACGAGGCGAGATCTTGCATGGAGCCCCAGTCCGAGGGAGACTGACAGCCATTTTGAATTTCTTCCATTTTCTAATAATTGCACCAACAGTTGTTGCCTTCTCACCAAGCTGTTTGCCTATTGTCCTGTAGCCCATCCCAGCCTTGTGTGGGTCTACAATTTTGTCCCTAGTGTCCTTAGACAGCTCTTTGGTCTTGCCCATAGTGGAGAAGTTGGAGTCTGATAGATTGAGTGTGTGGACAGGTGTCTTTTATACAGGTAACAAGTTCAAACAGGTCAATTAATACAGGCAATGAGTAGAGGATAGGAGGGCTTCTTAAAGACAAACTAACAGGTCTGTGAGAGCCAGAATTCTTGCTGGTTGGTAGGTGATTGAGGATGTTCGGATCCGGCTCGAAGGACCAAGTTGTTAAAAGAATGTCCAAAGAAGCCACAAAGTCAGTGGAATCTTTCATTAAGGGATTGGTTTACTTGCAGCAATGAGACAAGTCACCATAGGCATACAGAGTTGTCTGAATAAGCTAGTCTAAACATCACAATATGTAGGACAAAGGGAACTCCCTAAAGATGCATTCCAGGTGTTAATCAAGTTGAAAAGAAGATTCAAAAGGAAAAGTGAAATTGAGAGGCTTTTCGCTGATAACCCCTCAAACGATAAACAATATGTTGTCCGTTCATCTTCACAATATATAGCAGGAAAGGGTTTATAGCTGGCTCCTTTACGTCTGGAATGCCATCCCGGCTGAACATATAACAACACAGAGAGTACTGAAAACTAAGATAAAACATGTCCTTCAGTCCACACATGCAGTGTCTCACAGGTCCCTGTGATCTGTAGTCTGTTCTGAAAGTTTAAAATCCATTGAATAACATATGTTGGTTAATATATTGATTAGAACACAGTTTAAAACATACTTAATAATGTAATTTTCATGACAGTGATCAAATACTTATTTCATGCAATAAAATGGAAATAAATTATTTAAAAATCTAACAATCTGTTTTTCTGGAATTTTTTTTTGTAGATTCTGTCTCTCACAGTTGAGGTATACCTACGATGAAAATTACAGAACTGTCCATTCTCTGTAGTGTAAGTGGGAAAACTTGAAAAATCGGCAGTGTATCAAATACTTATTTGCCCCACTGTATGTCAATAATACACATATTGGAAAACACCTTCATTCTTCAGATGATGGACAGCTAACCTACTGTATTTCCTTCACTAGAGTATCAAGTCTTGTTAAATTTATGACTCATCAAATTAGGAAAAAATGCCAGAGTATGTAGTAAAAAATGCATCATTATATAAAATTTGCTGGGCCTTGCAAACCTGTGAAAAAGAAATACAGCAATGAAGATACTAGTGACTGCCATGGGGAATTGGTCAGTGAGGTAAAGGGCTGTTCTGAGGATATCGGTTCAATCCCCAGGCAGATTTTAAAGTCCAACCCCCTCAGAGTGTCGCATCAAAAGCGGTCTGAAACGCTTCAAAATTTACCTCACTATTGTGATGCTATTATTAAAATATATATTATCATATTGAACATAAAGTGCATCCACTTTCCTGGTTGTCAGGCTGGCTAGTCTCTGTGATACTGGTCAAGACAGCACTGGAATCCACACACTGCAAATCTTATACTATGATGTCATAATTTTTTGAGCTCATAAACTTAGAAGACATTAAATACTCAACTGTAGTAAATATGTTGGCGCTGTCCGTCAACTTTTGTTGCAGCTGTGGATGCATTTAACCAACGGTTATGAAAAGGTGTCATAGTTGGCTAAAGCTAAACGTTGCATCTTAACCTCTAGAGTCCCTGCGTCCTCATATGAGGACCGCACAGCTTGGGTTTCCAAAGCTCAGGACTCTAGAGGTTAATGAAGGTTATAATGTTCATTTTTCATTGACAGGCATCTTTATGGCTGGGACTGGAGACTGTGATGCTGATGAGTTGTATTGCATTAAACTCAGATGATTTTATTATCTAGCAGACCTCATGTATGATGTGGCTGCATGCTTCTGCCAACCATTGAAGTTGCAGTTTACATGCATGTGTCCAGACTATTAAAAGCGTATTTACAGGCTGACGAGAACAGGACAGATCCAGTCAACCTGTAAATACACTTTTAATAGTCTGGACACATGCATGTAAACTGCAACTTCAATGGTTGGCAGGAGCATGCAGCCACATCATGCATGATGTGTACATGTGTGTTCTACTCACCACTCCTGTAGCTCAGGTGAGGGAATGAGGCCTGCTGTGCCATTCTTGGTGTTCTCCAACTTTCCCTGCCACCAGTTGTGATCATCTTTAGAGATGATCTGAATGATGTCACCCACCCGGAAGCGAATGCCTGCCTCCTTGCATGGGATGAGGTCATCTTTTGCTGGATCATACTCAAACTGAGCACGTACATAAATCTGTAGGCGCAGGAGAGTGAGACAAAATGTGTTGGGTGCTGACACAGTGGCAAAGAATAGCGCTGTGATCACAGGAGAATATATGGAGAAGAACATGATTGGCCAAGCTACCCAGATGAAGAGGCCATAATAATTACTCATTAAAAAATAAAAACAGCGGAGGGGAAATCAAGAGCATACAAGCCAAAGCAGGAAAGGGCACAGACATTTAGATAAATGAATGAAAACGACCGAACAAGGCTCTTGAACAAATTGTGCCTGTGGGAGTGTTAATTTTATCGACAGCTTATGCACACACATCCACATTTTTTAGTTGCCTTCTGTGTCCACTGACAAGCTAAGTCTTGATAGCTAGCATGGGATCTAGACATGACTGGGATGAAGAACTGAACTCTGCAATGGGGGTGGGAGGACTTGGGATCTACTTCTACATGGGGCCCACTGAGATATCTTACCTTGATGGACAATTTGTCCTTGATAGCAGATCTGGAGATCTAGGAGGTTGAGAGCATCACACACACATCATGCAGTAGAAAATGTAGGGGGGCATACACAAAGGAGGCGTGTGTGATGAGGGGATCTGCAGTTGGGTTGTACTGCTATTTATATATACTCAATCAAGTGTACCTAATAAAAGGAGGAAGTGGTGACCAAAACAAATCAGGGTGCATAATATTTTCCATGTCACAGACTGAATTTCTTTCACTATATGACAGGAAATGTCATATAGTGAAAGAAAGCCGGCTAAGCCTTGATAGTGGAGTGGAGTACCTGATGTAAAGATAATAGATGGAATGGAAATGGAGGTACACAAGGGTGATTTTAAGTACATACATGCAGATTAGGACTTTTTGGGATGAGTGGTAGTTTGTCACATCCGTAACAGATTGTGAGGCCAAGAAAGGAGCAGGCAATTAAACTGGATGAGTGTGGTTGTGGTGTAAAGGAGGAAAAAAAACTCACCTGACGGCCTTTGGGCTGAATCATTGATGGCAGATCCTGGGTGGAACCACATTTTATTTAGTATTTGTTTTATAGAACAGCATATGATAAATGTGTAAAAACAGGGCAACATCAGATTTGGTGATGAAACTGTATGCTTTTATTTTGATAGTTGCCAGTCGGAGGTAAACTACATGTGTTCATACTTAGAGCTGCCCCCTGAACATTGAATCATTAGTCAACTGAGGCTCTTCTAGTGTTTTTATTTTATTATATGTTATTTTTTGTCAGCACTGTGCATTACAACAGAAGGCAGCCCTTGCTTTTTTTGTCACTGCTTTCTCCTGATCTTGGTGTACCAAGCAGAATACCCACTTCAGTGTAACCATGGATGTATAAGGTCCAACGGCACTATTTAGCAAATTGCAGAGCAAGGAAAAAAAGGCAGCAAAACACACTAGGACAAGCGACATAAAGGTGAGATTGGTACTTTGCTATAAGTGTTTTCAAACACTGTGGTCTGCTTTTACAAGAGAAAAGACTGTCTTGACCATGTGTTGCATATGTGAGTCTGGTTTGTACACCCATCTCTATTAAAGTGTAATGCACAGCTGTTTACTGACCGTTTCTGCTACATGCATATATCTGAATGGGACTAAGAAGGTAACAAAAATGCACAAGGAAAAAATTTCAATGAGGAATTATAAATAGGAATCAAATATATATTCTTTATTAGTGAAATTTGGCAGACAGTAACAACATGCGCTGTGATTAACTGATGGGAGAAGCTCAAACTTGTTGGTAAACTAGGCTATAACCATGTCTCGAAAGACATGCCTATAAGAGCATTGTTTCAACAGAAATGCAAGTATGCTGCCTTTCTCGTTATTCTGACAAATCCAAATCCGAATATGGCAGCTCGACATTATGTATTGTCAGTTTAAATAGGTTGCAATTTACATCTTGCATCATATGTAGCTGTCTTTTATTGATTTTTAAATGCTCAGAAATATGTCCCTGTCACTCTTTTGCATTTGAATACTGATGTTATTGTGGTTGAAATCATCAGTGAAATTCATGCCAGTTGGTTACAGCCCCCAATGTTCCTGTTACCACGAGGACCACTTGTGCCTTCACCTTCCACATCTTTTCTAGCTCTTCTTTCAGCCCTTGGTATTTCTCGAGCTTCTCATGTTCCTCCTTCCTGATGTTGCTATCGCTTGGGATTGCTACATCTATCACTACGGCCTTCTTCTTCTGTTTGTCCACCACTACTATGTCCGGTTGGTTGGCCATTACCAGTTTGTAGGTCACAAACCAGTCCATTACCAGTCCGTTTGTATCTGGAAATCCCACAGGATCTTAGCTTGGTCATTCTCAGCCACCTTTGGAGGTGCATCCCATTTTGACTTGGGGGCTTCCAGCCTGTACTCGGCACAGATGTTTCTGTACACTATGCAAGCCACTTGGCTATGGCATTCCATGTATGACCTGCCTGCTAGCATCTTGCACCCTGCTGTTATGTGCTAGATTGTCTCAGGGGCATCTTTGCACAGCCTGCACCTGGGGTCCTGTCTAGTATGGTAGACCCCTGCATCTATTGATCTTGTACTTAGAGCTTGTTCTTGTGCTGCCAGGATTCGTGTCTCTGTGCTGTCTTTCAGTCCAGCTTTGTCCAGCCACTGGTAGGATTTTTTGAGTGGTGTTTGATTCCAGCATGCAGTTTGATGGCGTGTCTCTCAACGATGTACTGCTGTCAGGGCCTGACCTAAACAACACACTTATAGGCGTGCTCCTTCGCTTCAGAAAAGACCCTGTTGCTATCACAGCTGGCATTGAGCAGATGTTCTACTGTTTTGTTGTCTAAGAAGAGCACAGAGATTATCTCAGCTTCCTGCGGTACGAAGGGACCTGTCCAAAAACGTGGTAGACTACCGGATGAGGGTACACGTCTTTGACAACAGCCCCTCACCAGCAGTGGCCATCTATGGGTTGAGAATGGCAGGGAAGGAAGCGGAAGCTGAATATAGGACAGATGCCTGAAACTTCATATAGCAGGACTTCTATGTAGACAATGCATTAAAGTCTTTTCCAACTGAAACAGAGGCTATTGATGTCCTACAGAGGGCCCAAAAATGCTTGCCCTGTCTAATCTACATCTCCACAAGATTGCTTCCAACAAAGTGGAAGCAGTGAAGGCCTTTCCCCCAAAAGACAGGGCCAAAGAAATCAAAGGCCTCGATCTTTCGACAGATAAGCCACCAGTCCAGCACCGCTCTTGGTGATGAGGAGGTTCAGGCCTATGCAGAACAGCAGCGGGGACAGAGCATCTCCTTGGTAGATACCGCACTTGATGTTGACTTGTGCAATTGCCTCGAAGTTGGCCTCTAGGGTTGTTTTCCACATTCCCATTGAGTTCTTGATGAAGGCTGTTAGAGTCCAGTTGATGTTGTACAGTTCCAAGCATTCCAGGATCCATGTGTGAGGCATTGAGTCATAGGCTTTCTTGTAGTCAATCCAGGCAGTGGGCAGGTTGGTATGTCTGGTCTTGCAGTCCTGAGTGACTACTTTATCAACCAGTAGCTGGTGCTTTGCTCCTCTGGAGTTACTACTAATTCCTTTCTGGGTGCTGCTCATGTATTAAGCCATGTGCCTGCCCATCTTGACTGCTATAATGCCTGACAGGAGCTTCCATGTTGTGCAGAGGCAGGTTATATATATGTATATAGATAGATAAAGAAAGAAAAAGAACAAATAGTCGGGTACAGCCTTAATCATACTGATCATGATCCAGATGAAGTCAAAGATATAGTGTTTTGATGGCATGGACCTTTTTTGATTCAGATCTACTGAAACAATGAGGAACACAACACTGGCATGTTGAACTGAGGAGAATGAACCAAAGTTTGGACCTAGAAGGGGAATGTTCCACCTCCTAACAAGCAAATAAGTAGAGTAAGGGGCTAGCGGATGCATCATGTCGCTGACTATGGAAAGACTAGTGTGTGTGTGTGTGTGTGTATGTGAGAAAGAGAGGGAGAGACAATGAAAAGAAGCAGAAACATACCAAGATGGAGCTTGTGACACTAGCGTGACCATTTGCAGGCGACTGTTGGGACAAATCTGGTGACTCTTTCTGCCACAGAAAATACAGTAACAGTTTTTCTTTTGTAGAATCTGCACATATATATAAGCACTTGTGTGTGTTTGTGTTCCCCTACCTCGCAAGATACAGACTGGGACCGATAACTGGGTACAATCTTGAAGGTGATACTACCCCTCATTTCTCTCTGTGGGACAGGGGGAAATGATACATCAGTGCCACAGCTGAAGCATTTTTAATTCTGTTTGCCACCCTGAGTTCACGCTATTAAATAATACTGTTTAGTACAACTATTACTATATTAATCCACATGCCTATGACATGAGTTAATACAATTCAGACCTGCTATTCAATGTGCTGAGTGAAAAAAAACTGCATGGTGAGGATTCTGGTTGGTCAAAATAACACTAAAAGAGAAACTTACCAGCATCTTTTGGAGCTGTTCTACCGTCTGATTGGCAACGCTGATGCCATTAATCTCTCGAATCTCATCTCCCACATGCAGCGTCCCTAAAGCCAAGAAATAATTAATAAAGCCCACAAATTAGGCTCTTGAGTTTTGAAACATCAGCGCTTCACAGAGCAGAAGCCAGGAAAAAACTCTATTTTTGTCCTCCCCAGCTACATACATGAGAGGGTCAGAATATTCGGAACACCTCTAAATATAATGTAGTCCAGTACAACACCACCTTTAACTATGACTTCAGTAATAAACATATAACTGAATTTATACATTTGTGACAGTTTTACCAAAAAGTGAAACATTTTGAGCTTCATAAACACAGATGTTAAGGATGTAGTGTTGCACTGAAGTGCATACAGTTGTACCTAATAAAGTGGCCGGTGAGTGTATGCATCAGTAAAGTATGCTTGCACATAGTGTTTTTATATGAATGCATACCTTGTCGATGAATCATTCCACCGTGCATGATGCGAGCCACGATACAGTGGTTAAGGTCATTCATTTTCAGAGTAATGCCCTAGAACAGACAGGCAGAGGTTCAGTGGGGAAACAGCAGTCTTATCTAATCATGCAAGCTTAACAATAACTTAAAATCCAGCATGCTGCAGCATGTTGGGTCATAGTCCTATGTGTTTCCACCGCAGTCTAATGCATTATTATGGTCTTGTCCAGAGGCAGGGCCAGCTGAGACGCCCCGCCTGCCTTGCTATATTCACCTTTTGTACTTAACTACTGTGTAACAAAAGTTTGGGTTTGTTGTTGTTTCACAGGTGTATTTCTGCTGCTTTCATACAGCAGACATGTTTCCTTTTCCCCTTATAACAGAATGGTACTGCTTTCTTATGCAAAACCTACTGCAAAATAAATATGTCATAGGTCATAGTATGCTGAAAAAAACATAGAAGAAATCCTCTGGACGTAGTTTTAGGTAGAAGACATTTCACCTCTCATCCAAGAGGCGTCATCAGTTCTGTCCGACTGGTAGGGAGCGGTAGGTATTTATCCCACTGGGTGGCGTTCCATTTCTTTGGTGGCCAACAATGTCTTCTAACGACTGAGTTGTTAGGTTCTGGTATCGGCGAGAGTCTTTACCAGGCTTTGAACCCTCACGTGTGGACCGACGCCTTTTGTTCTGGTGTGAATTGGGGTGAAAATGTTTGGATAGAGATTTCAAAACAGAGTTGTAGATGGATGACCAGTTGTGTCTTAGTCCACCACCCCTATTTAGTGAGGGGTGTTCTATTTGGACAAAAATAGCTTCCTTGACTCCTCTCTCAAACCAGCGATGTTCTCTGGAGAGGATCTGGACTTCACTGTCCTCAAAACAATGTCCCCTTTGTCCTTCAGGTGGAGGTGGACTGCTGATTCTGGTCTACTGGACTTGGCCCTCCTGTGTTGGGCCATGCGTTTGTGCAGCGGCTACTTAGTTTCACCAATGTACAAGTCGTTACACTCCTGACTACACTTAATTGCATACACCACATCACTCTGTTTATGTCTGGGTGTTTTGTCCTTAGGGTGGACCGGTGTTCCCTGGCTTAAAGTTGATTAGGATATTGTGGTTGTGGAACATCCTTTTTAACTTCTCTGATAAACCAGCTACATAAGGGATCACAGTGTTATCCCCTCTTGTTTCTGGTTTCTCCCTGTTGGTGTTGGGCCTCTTCCTTACTTTGGTGAAGGCCCACTTGGGGTATCCACAAACCTTAAGGGAGTTCTGGATGTGTAGTTTCTCCTCCGTGGTCCCTTCTACAGTTGTGGGCACTTCCTCTGCCCTGTGATTTAGGGTTCTGATGACTCCCAGTTTGTGTTGAAGTGGATGGTGTGAGTCAAAAAGCAGGTATTGGTCCGTGTGTGTAGGTTTCCGATATACTTCTACCTTCAGGCTTCTGTCCTGATTTTAACAAGTGTTGTCCACGTAGTGGAACCAATGGCTGGGAGCGTTACCAGTGAAGGAAGACAGGGATTTGTCCTCATATTCTTCCATGTACAGGTTGGCAACTGTTTGAGACACCGGGGAGCCCACAGCACAGCTGTGTTGCTACCTATAGAGGTGCCCCCTAAACTGGAAGTAGGTAGTGTTTAAACAGAGTTCCAGCAGAGTGCATACGTGTTCTGGGGTGAGATCAAGATCAAAGATTTTTATTGTCGATTATTATTTTATTGTCGACTATATGTGCAGGACATACAGAAAAATTGAAATACTGTTGGGTGAGGTTAGTCTTTTTTTAGTTTTTTTTCTGCAGAATGAATACTTTGTGCTACTGTGTCACAACAAAACAATGTGATCCTTCTACTATGAAGTGGCTACAAAGGCTAGCCACCAACTGTTTTCAATAAAAATGGGTTTATAATTACAAAACTACACATCATTTTACCCATAACCAAAATTTCCTGCAAAAATCTGAATGTGTGTGTATGCTTTCTGTCTACACACCATGGGCTCATCAGTGTTCTTCTGAAACTGGACCAGGCGAACCCTGGTGACATTCTCCAGGTCCATGTCTCCACTGGTGCTGTCTGGAGAGTCACCGTTCAGGTAAGGTGAAGTGGGCGGGGGGGTCACCCTCAGTGCCTCATCGCTGTAGACCTCATGAGCCACCACATCGTGGGTCTGCAGCAGTGCCTTGGGCGTACATGGAAAGACATAAATGTTAGGACTCTGATGGCACACACACAGTATGCAAGTGGCTTGCTCTATTGCTGCATAGAGTGTGACTTACACTAATCATATCACTAGCACACTATCTTTCTACAAACATCTACTGGCATCATTTGGCAAATGAACAAAAACAACATTTACACTGTGACAGTCATGGGGACTTGGAACAGCTGGAGCTCAAGGCTTTGAACATATGTGGCTAAAATGAACTACATTAAGATGTTTACAAAAGCATCAACAAGCAGTTGACAGTGAAAACCCACAAATTAACTACATACTAAGTTGAGAAGAAAACATCTTGAATCGCTGCCTCATTAATAAAATAATACACTACACAAGAAAAAGGGAAAATTATTGTAAGTGAGACACATTTCTCCCCATGTGGTTCCATGCTAAAGCCACACTCTTAAATGTCTGTGGCAGGATGAAAACGCCCATCAGCTCAGTTCAGAAACCAAGGCGAGCTAATTGGATTGAACCTTTGAACCTGCACTCAGTTCAATTAAAAGACCAAAAGTGCTCTTTTTGTTTTCCTTACAAGAGACAAACTGATTAGCAGTCATTTTTCTGTTCACCCTATCCAGCTTGTCTTTCTGTACATGGCACATAGCAACACTGTTGAGGCGGGTTTGAGTCATGGTGCTGCGTAGCCATGTTTTCAGCCGCTGGAGGCTGAAACTTCTTTCTGACTCTGCTGATGACACAGGCACAACTAGGAGGAGATGAGCAACTGTTTCAGCTTGGTTTTCTGCATCTTAATACTGCGTGGCAAAAAAGACAGTGGTAAGTGGTAGCTAGGTCAGACAGGACTGTGAGACTGCATAAAAAATAGCCTACTTGTGCTAGCATCATACAGCTCCCTATCTAACTTTGTTAACAACGTAATACTAGCTGCTGGGGTGGTGAACAGGGTACATGATGGATATTAAGTATTTATCAGCAGATATTCCATGTGACAGCGAGTTTGGCTTCACTAATTTACTGTGATGCCGTGTTGTTCACATTTACTGCCTCACCTTCAGACTGCTCCATAACGTTTGTTTCTCTACACCATCTCCTTAGCTGTCTCCAGTCGTCCTGAATGCTAGTGTAGTGATTTGTATTTGCCTCTTCACCCTCTAACTGGTGGATTTGCTGTGGTTTCCTGTTACATCTATCACTCAAGCTAACCTTGAGGAAGGGGGGGATGAAATGTGTTTTTAGAAAAAGTGTGGGTGTTACATCCCGCACAGCTGCAACGTGCATGCACTGGTGGTCACTGCAAAAGTTACTGGAAATAGACACTCAAGCCCTTCAACACATTCTTCCTACAGCTCTAATGCTTCTGTTTCTGCTCCTTTTTCCTCTTCATAGGTCTATCTCTGCCTGAGGGCTCGCCAAGATCAGGTGCTAAGCAGCTTTGCGGACAAGGGAGTTATGTGGATTAGAGCATGGATCCAGCTGCATATTTCTGAACCGAACCAAACCCGATCTGAGCCTGACGCAGTTGAGATGTACAGTGTTTTCCCCCCCTTATCATTAAACGAAACAGACATTTGAGTGCTCCAGGTGTCTAGCCTAGAGTTTGACCTACATGTACGAAACCGACCCAGACCCGAACATAATTTATACATTTCTGTCCAAACCTGGCCCCAGCCCTCAGATACCGACAGGTTCCCTCGTGCTTGGTTTGGGTATCCACACTCTAAGAAAGATCTCCACATGTGACACAGGAAGATTGTAATCCAACATACCAATAAGCAAGCTCTACAGGCACAGACAAAACCTGACCTGGTGAGAAAAGTTAAGAATGTATAATACTACTGTGTGTATGATTCTGTAATATCCCACCATGAAGTGCGGCTGTGTAAGGATCCGTCTCAGCTCCTTGGCCTCCATGTTCTCTGGGTAACAGGAAATGGTTTCCAGTACCTGGTGGGGAAAAGAAGAAATAAGCATGAACTTCAAGGATACAGTCTCCACTGGCAGGTTTGATAAGTGCTAAAAAGGCTCTTCTATAAAATGAACCTTTTTACATTAATAATCATTATACATAAATCTAAAAACCATATGTTTGTAATGGGTGTTCTCACTGGAATTTGTCCC